AGTCAGCAAGCAGAAAACAAACCAACGAAGGGAATGGAAGCAGATTTTTCAAAACGTAAGAACTGGTACTTACGGATAATTTATATAAGAAAATGAAAGACTATTAGTCGTATCTTCTCTTAGATAAATCGATTTATACAAACAGTAGACTTAGCTCAAATTTCGAAACCAGCGCTCGAACTTGACCTTGTCTCAAGCGATCAACATCAGTCGCAATATGAGTAAAGCCGCATGACGGAAATCACGGTTCGACGGGGTCCAGATGGACATGGTAGAAATATTCGTCGGGAACACGAGTGTGCTTGGAAGAGAAATTGTATGATGCTGGACCCTGTGATTTTGGCGTGCTAATCACTGCCTAGTAGTGAGAGAGGTGGCTAGACTCCGCAACTATTCTCTCAAAGATGTCATTCACGAAGGAATTCATGATGGACATAACCTTCGATCGGATGCCAGTATTAGGGTGAACCAAACGGAGGACCTTGTAGATGTAGATTGCGTAGGATTCCTTCCTTCTCCTCTTCTCTTTATTCTTATTATTCTTGTCAGTCTTCACGACATGGAGCTTCTAAACCTTCTTAGCGGCCTTACCAAAGACAATTTTGGAAGCCATCACAATCAACGCAGTTCGTCAACAGCAGTGTTGGATGTGTCAGTAGTAAGAATAAACTGCATGTCTGCATCGATGATCAGATGATAAAGCATAGTGGCATCCTCGAGGGCTTTCCTCGCTGCCTTAAATACTGCAAGGTTGGTGGTCGATAACTGTAAAGATTTTGCTTTTGACTTCAGAATGTTCATCAAAGGAGCCAGAGTCGCTGTCCAGTTTAAAATAAAGCAGCAATAGTAATTTATAGCCAATTACGGCGAAACTGTGTAATGGTTTGAGAAGCAAGGAAAGACAACAGGCTTTGACTTTCTCTAAAAGTGGTGTGAGTCCGTGTTGGTCGACAGGGTGACCAAGGACATCTAGGGAAATGGCACCAAACAGGCACTTGTCGACGTTCAGCTGTAAACCATTTGGCTGAAAACGATGGAAAACTTGGCGCAGGGGCTCAGCGTGTCCCTCGAATGAAGAGCTAGCGACAAGAATGTCGTCGATGTACACGAACATGGAGGGAAGGCCCCGTAATATGCCGTTAACGAAACACTTAAACGTTTCGGCCGCATTACGCAAACCGAAAGGAATGCGAAGAAATTCAAAAAGGCCGAAAGATGTCCTGCGAGCCATCTTTGGGATATCTTCCTCCGCGACCGGTTTTTGATGATAAGCTTTCACGAGATCAATCTTGGTGAAAATAGTCTTTCCCGACAGCACGTGTGAGAAGTCGTGAATGTTGGGAACCGGATATCAGTCCAAGACTGTTGCTCTGTTCAGAGCACGATAATCACCGCATGGTCTTTAATTACCGGATGACTTCTTGGGTGCAGTGGAGAGACCCATGGACTAGACGACGACCGAATAATCCCCAAATTCATGTGCTCGAATTCACTTTTCCCGATCCGAAACTTCTCAGAGTGAAGCTGGTGCGGATGAAAATGGACTGAGCGTCTAATTGTGACAGTATGATGCCAGACTGCCTGCTGAACCCGTTCAGTAATCTGACGGTTTAGCGAAGGATGAAAAGTCCTTCAAAGTTTCAGAAAACGGCGGGCTTGCCACGGCAAAGTGCATACCAGCTGAAAATTCGCGGCTGCAGTTCCGATAATAAAGAGTTTTATGGTGGAATCAATGAGTTTCGGATGCGTAAAATCATCAGCCAAAGCGCGTCAGAAAAATAGCTCCAATTATAGGCGACTGAAATTCATCCTAAATGAAAACCCATTGTAACCGACGGCGGCGTCCGACGGGGAAGTCCGAGGTACAGAGTGAGGGACCGTTGACCGTACGTGTTAATGGTGGTGCTGTTGGCTGTCTGTAGTGAAAACGACAAAGGCT